AAGAAACTAAAATAGTGCACATTTAAAGCATTTAAAGCCAAAGTTCGGAAGTTGAGTTTTCATTACTGTAAACAAAAAATCAACAAGAGGTATAAAAAGTCAAGAAAAAATGTACGAATTGTGAAATAGGCAAGACATTATTCCTTTGACGAAAAAATAAATAATTGCAGTTCACTTTCAGGTCCATTTGAAAAAATATGTAATCACCAAAATGCCCATTTGTAGGGAAACAATAAAAGGCAAAGGAAAATCGGAAAATTGATATTTTGTACATAAGATGTACATTTAAAGATAATATATATCTAGTTTTTACGTGGTTTCCTAAGGAACAATCGAAATGTATTTTGTTTTGTTTGAATATATTTCGATCCCAAACGCCAAATATTTCACTAAGCAACTGAATGAAATGGTTTTAATGAAATACTGATAGGTAAACATATATTTTTCTGTTTTAAACATTGAGATTGTATTGGCAGGAATTGTAATATCAGCAGTCTACTATTACTAGTAACACATAAGAAAGAGTTGCTGCAAGGGTCCAATTATTGTATAGTTAACAAAATTTTAAGAAAACCGGGCTTCTTCAAAGATGTAACACCACCGTCCATGGGTTCTACTATAATATACGTATACGAAATATTGATTCAATTTATTTTACTTCACATAATTTGTTCAGACATCGTTTTCATCGTCGTCTTTTTTACAAATTGCTTCTTGAGAAAGATGATTCCTACATCCATCACACCCTCCACACGATTAAATACTTGGACAAGCCAAACTATGTGTCTTGCATACACAACTTTTATTTCAAGCTCTTTACCATTGCATGTGAAATGAGGGTCTTCAAGGCAATATGATGTCATAGGTCTCTCGAAGAAGACAAGTATGTGTTCTCAATTCTTCAAGCAAATGTGTGATTTTTATAAACAGTAAAGAAATCGTTAATGCTTTTAATGCTTTCGGATAAGACAAAACAAGGAACACCGTTCATACTTTTGGTTCAATGCTTTTTATTCCATTTGTGTATCTCTGTCAATTGAAAAGTGCTTAAAATAAAAGAGCCATTAGAGCATCATGGAGCAGTATTAATTCTTCGACTATACGATTTAACAGTTTGCAAATTAGAGAATATGATTACTGTATTTTGAGCATAACACATACGTCATCTAGCCCAGCTGAAGTTAATAACTTACTAACTGTTGCTATAAAAGAACGATGAAAGCACATGTCATTCTATATTATTATAATTTGGGAACATTAAACGTCTGCCATAGGCCACATTTCTTATGGGCATCAGCATGGAATTGCTTGTCAAATGTTTGCACAGTAGTTTGATAAATATTTCAAAACAGTATTTCATAGTGGTATATATAATAAACTGTTGCTATGTTTGGTGTATATGATCACTTAAACATAAGATAGAAACATATATACAAATTAGAATTATGATACTTTAGGTAAACAAAGAGGGCCGAGAGATACTACAGGGACATTCAAACTCATGGATTGAAAATAAACTGACAACGCAAAAGCTGATCCGATATTTGGAAAATGTTGTCAAAATTTTCTGAAGAAATAGTTATTGGATTTAAGTTTTGTTTAAAATAAGTTGGACAAATACCCAACTTGTCCGAAGTATTGATGTTTATCCTTAAAACAAAACTGAATCTCCCCATGATCATAGTATAAACAAAGTAAAGCAGTTTTTTTAGCTTATCGATAGATATGCATGTCATCAGTTTGCTATTAGAATCTTCAAATGTCAAAAATCTGTCTGATTCAAGTTAATTTTTATAGGAACTCATGGTAGAGTTTAAAGCGTTTGTTTTCTACTGAAAGGCAGTCATAAGTTTGGAGTGAAAAGTATGTTTACAATCAATTGACTCAGCATTGATATCAATATAATAAGCCCCCGATTATATTATATTAACGTTTTCTTTAATGCTACAATACCATAAGATAAATATGACATGACCGGATTTTATTCAAAATCATGGTTTAGTGGTTATGACAATTGCATGTGAAATGGTATAAAAAAAATAGTTGCTTAATGTAACTTAACATTTTACTATTGCTTTGACTATAGACACATTGTCGTGAGGAAGTTTAGAAGTAAATATCATCACCATTTTAAACTTAAACATCAACAATTTACAACCAGAACTTCTTAAGCAATCAAGGAGTGTTGCATGAATATGAAACAGGTGTTGTTGGGTAAGTCTCATTTGTTGATTCTAATGACTTTATTTAAGTATGAACTATTAAATAAAAGCTGCTGCATTTTATGTTGGGTTTTCATTGCTAGTAAGTGTCTTAATTTCAGTTTCAATTTCTGTCAGTACTTATCCATAGTTTATATGGTGGTTAGCTGCTTGAAAGGCTTCCAAAATCAGTGAAATACTGAATCCGACATTTGAATCAACCTGTATTTTTTGTTTCCGTATAACGATTGATTTTGCATAATGTTTTTAAAAATCTGCACTGTAGTTTGGCTGAATCGTGCTTTGTTTTCAATTCATGAAGTAGGTAGCTTGAGTATCGATCAGTATTTTACCAAAAGAAAAGACATGACCAAGGCTTTTATTCACAGTCAAATTTTTAAGGGTAACACCAAAAAGGCAATGAGAAGCCTTCTCGTACACAAAAAACATTCAACTCATCGTTAAATCTTCTTTCTTCGAATTGCCAAATTAAAAATAAATTAAAAAGGACACCCTGTAGAAAAGGGCTTTGGTTTAAACTCTTTTGAAAATGGAGTGACATTATTTCGTAATAATTCTTATATGATTTGCATATCTATAAATACTTGAATTGGATTGGTCAATTGGAATTTTACACTTGGTTTACACTTCTATAAACCTTGTTTCCGAAACTACTTTCGTAACTTTCACCGTGATCTATTCATGAAAAGATCCCGGCATTTTTAGCAAATTGAGATAAAAAAACAAACAAATACATAACAGTTGTTGCTATTCTAATGCATATATAACAAAAAAAAAAAAAAATAATGCATTAAAGCTTCAAAAATGTATAAAATTAAAATCATGAATGATTCAACGAATTTACGTCATGGCAAAACGCGACGTCATTCGAATGAAAACTTTTAAAGGAAAGATAATTTCGTTTCTTGAAGGCTTCAAATTTGAATAATATTTCATTAAAATGAAGTTTTTTGGGTAGGTGATTTTCATTTTAGATTCTGTTACATTTATCAAACATTTATGGATTTTAGGAAGTCGATATGGCGGCCAACTCCTTAGTTACGACCTGTCAATTGTGCATACGATGGTAAATATAGTAGTCATTACACCAAAAAATGTATATTAAAAATCGCAAATATTTGGCTTAAGAATTATAAGGATTATTTACATTTTTTCTGTTGTTATTGATGTGTAAACCGGGCCTCTTATTCACAAACTTAACACAAAAGTCATTCGGACTTTTATTCAGTGTGTGGGTTAATCGCCTTTCGTTACATTCATTGAAACTGTAATTCTGATCTCATTTCTACGATGTGTGCTTGCAGAACATATGGCACGAACATTTATCTTGTCAGAATAGAATAAACTAAAATATATAATTGAAAAAACTTGCGAAGATGACAGAATAAGTAGACTACTATTATGTAAAAACATTCCGGGAATAACTTCTTACCGCTCAAATTTGACTTTTATTGTTAGATTTATAGATTTTGTTAACATCGTCAGAAAAGAATTAAAAAATGTCTTGTGCAGTTTTGATAAAGTATGATGGATGATATAGGCTTTAGACATGTTCTATACCTGTCAAATTCTAAATATGAAATATTACTAAGTCCGATTCTATAGTAAATTTATCATAATGGAAAACCGACCTTTCTGAAAGATGTTAGTATACAAAGTAAGGAGATGTGGTATGATTGCCAATGTGACAACTATCCACTTAAGTTCAAATAAAGTGGATGTAATTAATGATAGGCAACCGTAATGCCTTCAACAATGAGAAAAACCAATACCCCATAATCGGCTATAAATGGCCCCGATTGATGATTATTCGTTGTTGTTTCTTGAAGAAAAAATAATTAATACATACTTTTCCTCGATTTAGGTTACGTTATAATCATAAAAGAAGTTACAATATCATAACATCAAAATTGTGAAATTTTAGTTCCCCCAACAGACATTGGACACATTCTAAGTCTTCCCTTTTTTTCGAACACAAAATTCAAGGATACCTTATTTATTTTAACTATCTATATGAAAGTTGCTGTCCTCATGATTATTTGCACCGGATTTTATCGACGGCTAGCTTTAACACTTGTAAGTTCGTCTTATGGGTTATTGTGTTTTTCATTGTTGTTTCGTTGCTGGCTTGTGGACGAATACCTGAAATCTCTGTGTCATCATCAATCATATCACTGGTTATATATCAAAGACCCAGGTAAAAATAATTGCGTCACACGTAAATAAACAATTACATATGCGAGGACATAAATATGCTAATTCATGTATACATATAAGGTAGTGTCCCCGACCTGTTTAAAAATGTTTTAAATAGATGACTTCGATTGTGCGAAATTTCATTTAGTTCGTAGCATGCATGAATAGTATTTATATATATAATTTTTTGATGAAATTAAATTTTTAAATAGTTTTTCATCGATATGTTACATAATATTCAAAGATTTATTAAAAAGTATAAAATGATAAAGATCTGTTCTTTATAAAAAAAAAATAATGAATTTCCATATGAAATTTACACCAATATTGTCAAACAAGCTATTTTTTTCTATACCCTCATTTTACTGTAAAAAAAAGTATCTATTGCAAATCTTATACTTTGTAGTGCATAAATTATGTAATAAAACACATAACATTATACGACAGTGTAATAACTTTTTACCTAAAAACTTTGTCAATAATACAAAAAAACTACCAGCAACATCACGGAATAGTCATTTTGCGACAATTACTGATAAAATCTGCATCATGCATCGATACTTAACCTAATTTCAATTCTGGAACTTGATTATGAAACGTTTTGTACCGTATCACTTCTCGCTAAAGTTGAAAGGTTTCAACCTTAAAGAACACTTAAACTATATTATTTTATGCAGGTCCTTATGATTTAGATAGTTTTGCCATGATTTTTCCATTAGCCGCTGGATTATTTGCGGTAGTTAATCTATTTATATTTGCGAAAGGTAAGTACACTGTTATTTTTCTCGATCAGTTCCATAATTTCAATAATATTGTGTTCAAGAGGAGTGAATTTTTAAAATTGTTTGCACAAAATAAAAGGGTCATGTATTGTTGACTGTTGTAAAGTTGTAGTGCATTTGAATTATAAATTTAAACAAAATAAATGATTTTACAGCGGTAGTCACTGTTGTTATGAAATTAACAGGAATTTGTGTATTCGAACACCTTGTCAGATAAACAGTACTTGCAACTTTTGACGTTTCTGTTTAAAGGGAACTGGACTGATTGATGAATAACTGGTGATTGATGTTTGACTGATTGATGATTGATCTGGGATCAATGATCAATCGAATTCGTCAGATAAGTCACGTAAGACACATGAGAAGATGGTGAATGAAAGGTGATCGATGACCAATTGAATCCGTCAGATACGACAAATAAGCTATGAGAGAGTTACCATACAACATTTAGCGATCGATCAGTCAATTAATTGTAGTCATAGATCGGACAGAAACATAATAATATAATTATAATTCTTATTTTAACTGAACTCCGCAATATTAAAATACAGTAAACGCGGACCTCTACGGAGACATCTTTATCCGATATTTGTTATCAACTACGTCGCAATCACATATAAGAAAAATACGTATTACCTTTGTTTTATGCTGCTAGATACTGTAAAAGAAAAGGTAATCAAAGATTTGTTTGTGATGATTAAGAGTGCAAATATTTCTATATCTTAATGGAAATCATAATAAATAACATTGAATGTTGACAGCGTAAACTGTAACATAGAGGTGAAAGATACAAAAGAGACATTCAAACTCATGAGTCGAAAATAAACTGACAACACAATGTCAAAATGTAGGAATATTTAACAGGTTAAAGACAATAATTTAAATCACTTTGTCCTCCTAAAAAAGAATATTAATAGTATAAAGTAACATATTGAAATTTGGATAATAAAACTATATATTTTGTGTGTGTGTGCTTGTTTATTTTGTCGTGTTGTCTTGAAAGTTATCTGGTGTTTAAGGTATCTATACAACCTGTTTACCTTTTAAAATGTTTTAAAGTGGAAAATGCAATGCCGGTGATCAACGTACTGATTTAAGTTAAATGTTTTAAGTGTTGACATACTTAACACAATTACGTGTATCGTGTCATAGTACATATACACTTGGGACGCAAATCAATGTTTAACATTTGTTTATTTTACACCTGTTTTTAATCAATAAATTAATGTCGACTTCCTTGCAATTAATATGACGATTTAATATAATTTATGAAAAAAAGAAATACCTCACGTTAACAGTATTTTTTATCGTAGGTTTATTGATTAAATCGAGATGTATCCAATTTCTCTTAATAGTGTTAATATGAATATTAGGAAAGCCTTCAGTTTGCATTACATATTATCGTTTTGTTTGCTGTGACAAAAAATGTATATAAAGAGTACTTTTGTTAATGATATATGAAAAGTATGTCATACTGGATGTCTCATCTGCTTGCTTAAAGTAAAAAAAGTGCTGCCATTGTCGCTTATGTAAATAATTACTTCCCTGTTACCTTACATTTTATCGCTAATTCTGCTTATTACTAGTAGTCAAAGGGAAATAACTATTATACTTCAAACATTACTATAACAATTAAGGAATCCCATAATATTATATGTGTGGTTAGAGGGATGCATTAATCTGAAGGAAAATAAATATCGCAAAATATACATCCCACTTCAATATACTAATTTGTGGTTTAAGCAGATATATTTTTATTTGAAAACATAGCAGATATTAATTGACAACACTGAATGTATCAACACATGTATGCACATATTTTTGCATAAAAAGTTTTCATTTTCTATCGAAGATTTGAGCCTGAAGAAAAAAATTAAACAAACGAAATTATCATAGTATGATACATGAAAACTACAAATATTTTGATTCTAGGTTTCAGTCCTAAAATTTGGTATTTTCATAGAAAAAAGGACTACCTTTAATGTCAGTATGCAAGTATTATTTTTCCTCTATTCAAAGAGAATTATTTGTTGATGCCAACACTAAGACTAGTTTTGGTCAAAGAAACTTTTGTGTTACAAAAGGTTAGGGGGGGATATTAGAAATATTTGCTAATTATGAAGCTTGGGTTCTGAGATAGCAGTTAATATAATAAAATATTTACTTCACTTTTGAGTGAGTGCTGCACTGCAAAAAAACACCACATACTAGATCGATCTGTGCCTAAACTTCATTTTAGTATATTATTCTTCTGTAACTTCTTAAATTGTGATGTCACGGAAATAAGCCGTATCCTTCTTTAAATAAAATAGGAAACAGAAAAAAGTGTATATTATCTTTTATTTATGTGTGTAATTTAATTGCAAAGGTAAGTTGTAACTTTTAAATCGAGAAACTGTTACTAAAATTCGAGGTAGTCACTATTGTCTTAGATTGTCGTTATATACTAGCACCTCATTATTCCCTTTTCATCTATGTTTTTGTTCTATTTTTCTCTTTTCTTTATATTTTGTGTCCATTATTCTCTATCCTGTAAACCCAATCGACAACCTCTTACAGCACATTACCACTTTTTATGTTGTTCTATCTTTTGCAGGAAATGTAGAACTTGATCCTGGCATCACCATCCATCCAGCACCATCAGTTGTTATTGCTCAAAAGAATAGTCCACTACTGCTGAACTGTTCTGCCTCATCTTCACCAGACGCAGGTCCGGTTACCATCACATGGTTTAAGGATGGCCAGCCTGTGGTTATTGACAGACGGGTACAATTCAGAGAAAATGGCTCCTTATATTTTACACAAGTGAAGAACAATCGTTATTCTAGGAACAAAAACAGAAACCAGAATGGATACTACGAGTGTTTTATAAAAAACAAGTATGGTACTGTTATTGGAAGACAGGTCCATCTTCAAGTTGCAAGTAAGTGTTTTGGTTTTTTTCATACTGTCGATTCATTTATTTGCCGTGGATCGAGGAAATAATTATTTTCCTGGATATTGGATTTAATGGTTTTGATACAAGTGTAAAAAATGTATACTTCATTACCATCCAAATTCATTATTCACATTTACCCAGGAAGTCCACGAAAATTGGTACGCCATGAATAATAATGCTTCCAGAGAAGTCTAGCCCGTTTAAGCAGAAATATTGAAAGCTAGCTTGATATGTTGAAATGTTGATAACAGTGGAAAATGCAAGTGAATAGCCAAGCTTGTCTTTTATTACTTTTTAGAGTTTATTACTTTTTACTGGAGAGAAAAAAAACCAAACCATTGACCATCTCTGTATAGTTTAGAACAAGTTTAGTTTCGGCAGGATATTCTAAATTTTTAGAACAATGAAGGTTTAAAGTTTTACATTAACAATTTCAATCCCCTAAAAAGTCTTAAAAATGCCCCCTGCGGTAGAGCGGGCATCAAGGGTTACCATTGTCTGTATGTACGTCACAAAATTAGTTTCCGTTCCCTAACTTTAGTTTTCGGTGGCATAATGGTAACATAGATTTGTTATAAATTTTAACTTTTGTTGTTATGTTAAAGATACAACTGGCCTCGAGTTAATTTTCAAATTGATGTTGTCACATTACTTTATGAAAGTGGTTTTTTTCATAACATATAGATGTAACTAATAATAGTACAGCATTATTTAACTCTGTATTACTTTCTCATAATCTGATTATGTTCAATTTACTTTATATAAATCAAATATTGAATATGTCAACAGTATGTCTGTCACAAACTTTAAACGTCGGAATTAATCTTTATATAGTCTTTAATTTGTTTAAATGTTCTATGGATTTCAATTTACTTTATATAAATCAAATATTGAATATGTCAACAGTATGCCTATCACAAAATTTAAACGTCGGAATTAATCTTTATATAGGCTTTAATTTGTTTAAACGTTCTATGGATTTACATAAGTTCACTTCAAATGTAGGATACATATCGATGAGAATTAGCTACAAGTTGTAATTGCAAGTTTTATCTTGATTGAGTGAACGTTTCCGACGTGTGTGATAAAATTACACAATCATTATTATTTTTAAGTGTTGCATACAATTAATGAAACGCCCTTCCCTTTGGTGTGATGCTTAAACACGAAGCTTTATTAATATTAAACTTTATTTGTGTTAATTTATGAAGAAGGTTCCCGGTATTATTCCGGTTTCAACTGTAAGTGGTGTTTTTTAGTTACAAGATTTGATATGCATAACTTTGACAATTGTTTATTTCAATTTATCAAGTTGTTTGTTTGTTGTACAATGCATTATGTCCACATTTTCTATGATAGCACGAGAGTCATGGCTGTTATATCAATAAAATAAAACATGTGTGTGTCAGCTAATCAATTTATGGATACTAATGAAATACACAACTTTCAAAAAAATCTCTACTATTGACGAATTGGTGTAAATGATAAATCGAAGTGAAAAAACTTGACAAAAGTCAGTTTATGATATATGCAAGTATCAATTTACGACAAAAGAGATGATTTCAGCTTCCCAATTGTGAACTTTCCATTTCTATGTAGCAACATTCCAGCAGCGCCTGCATACGGAGTATATATCTCCCAATTGATACGATATTCTCGGGCTTGTATTTCCTATCATGATTTCCTTGACAGAGGATTGCTGCTCACATGGAAGCTATTAAACCAAGAGTTCCAAATGGTAAAGCTGAAATCATCACTTCGTAAATTTTACGGACGCCATCACGAGTTGGTTAACCGTTATGGAATAACCGTTTCACAGATGATATCGGATATGTTCCTTATGTCGTAATTACAATACCCTTCCCTTTTCACAAATGTGACCTACCGAATTAGACTATTTACCGGATTTGTAATAATATAAGCAACGTGACGGGTGCCACATGTGGAGCAGGATCTGCTTACCCTTCCAGAGCACCTGAGAACACCCCCAGTTTTTGGACGGGTTCGTGTTGCTTAGTCTTTAGTTTTCTATGTTGTTTCATCTGTACTATTATTTGTCTGTTTGTCTTTTTATTTTTGGCCATGGCGTTGTCAGTTTGTTTTCTATCTGTGAGTTTTACTGTCCCTCTGGTATCTTTCGTCCCTGTTTTAAACACGTTTAACAAGGTTCAACCAATCATTCTTTTTTCAAATATCCTGTAATAAGTAAGGACTATGTCACTTGATATTAAAAAGTCAGTTTCTATGTATATTTGCGTCATTCATGTTGCAGTTCAGAGTTTCTGTTGTTTCGTTGTTTTTCCTCTTATTATTGAGGTGTTTCCCTCGGTTTTAGTTTGTAACCCGGATTTGTGACTATTGAATAGCGGTAAACTACTGTTGCCTTTATTTATCTTGAAATAAAAGACTGAATATTGGAGGGTACTTACCTGACTTACTCCTCACAGGTATTTCGTAGCTATAGATTAACCACGCATTTGAGTGTTCAAATTTTCTATTGGCTTGTGTGCAGATTTTCACAAAATGTTCCCTAATAGACATATCATTTAAATATAGTTTGGCTTTGAGTTTTCCTGATGATAGTAAAGTAATATCGACGCATTACATTTATTTCTATTTTTGTTTTCATTTTATATAACAAATGACAACCACTTACGAGGTTCTTGACTGCGTGGAACAAGCATATGAACATCTTGTAGGGTTAAATAAAAAAAAATCTTGGTCTTATCTGGATTTCTCTTGTTCTTATCTTGATTTCCCTTCGCCCTATCTGAATTGTTTTAGATCTTATCTGAATTTCTTCAAGTCTTATCTAAAATTCGCTAGACCCTATCTGAATTTCTTTTTGCTGTATCTGAATTTCACTTGGTCTTATCTTATTTTCTCTTTCTCCTACAGTCCCTGGATGGTGTAAACTTCTCACTAACACAATACACCATTCACCATACACCATTAACCATACACCATTACACCATTACACCATACACCCAGTGCCATTACACCATACACGTTACACCTTGGCACCATACAACTTTCACATTACACCATACACCATTCCTCATTCTATCTACACCATTCGAAATTACCCATAATACAATTTAATTTCAAAGAAAGCGTGTGACTACAAACGAATTTTGATCACAATATTGTAAATTAATGTATAAAATTAAATCTTGCGAGATCATGGTGGTATAAACAATACAGATTAAATTCATGTTTTTGTAAATAAAGAACGCATAAAACTTTGCTTGTAATAAAAATTTATCCGTGATCTGCCTTTCTATAAATTAAAAACGATATTGGTTACAATGCTATTATTAAGTTCTGATCGTTTTTAAAATGTAGACTGACTCCAGTATAACATTTTTTTTCTACTATTTTAGGAACATATATATTATCTGTAGTTTTGGTACCTCAGGCTGCCTCGTACAACAAAATTATTTGAACGCATCAACCAAAACTGACCATATTTGCACTTTATTATAAAATTGAGAATGGAAATGGGGAGGGTGTTAATACGTTTATTTATATAGCCGCCTAAAAAGTTTGGAAATATGTTTATGTCAGGATAGATTGTATAAAACAAAATAATGACAGCAACATTAGAACACAATGACAACAAAAATGTGTCCCTATCAATCTAAATTGCCAGCATTTCCTTTTTTTTAATCAAAATATTGTCTCGCAACAAAATTTCAGTTGTTTTTATACCTCAGACTGACTCGTATAACAAAATTATTTAACGCATCAACCAAAACTGACCATATTTGCACTTTATTATGTAAACTTATATAGCCGCATAGTAAATCAGCAATATGTTGATGTCAGAATTGATTGTATTATACAAATGACAGCAACATTGCAACACAATGACAACAAAAATCTGTCCCCAACAATCTACAGTGCCGGCATTTCCTTTTTTTCTTCAAAACATTGTCTCGCAACAAAATTTCAGTAGTTTTGATCCTCAGTCGGACTCGTATAAAAAATTAGTTTAATGCATCAACCAAAACTGACCACATTTGCACTTTATCATGTATATATATATATATATATATCCCCATTGTAAATCAGCAATATTTTATTGTCAGAATGGATTGTATAATACAAATGACAGCAACATTGCAACACAATGACAACATGAATTGTCCCCATCAATCTAGATTGCCAGCATGTCCTCTTTTTATTCAAAATATTGTCTCGCAACAAAATATCAGTAGTTTTGATACCTCAGGCTGAATCGTATTACAAAATTATGTTAACACTCAATCAAAACTGACCAAATTTGCACTTTATTATGTAAATAGATATAGGAAGATGTGGTATGACTGCCAATGAGACAACTCTCCATCCGAGTCACAATATTATATATAAAGTAAACAATTATAGGTCAAGGTACGGTCTTCAACACGGAGCCGTGGCTCACACCGAACAGCAAACTATAAAGGGCCCCAACAAATTACTAGTGTGAAACGATTCATACGGGAAAACCAACGGTCTTATCTACATGTATATAAAAAACGAGAAAAGAGAAACACTTATGAACCACATCAACAAACGACAACTACTGAACATCAGATTCCTGACTATATAGCCGCATAGTAAATCAGCAATATTTTGATGTGAGGATGGATTGTATAATACAAATGACAGCAACATTGCAATACAATGACAACAAAAAATTGTCCCCATCAATCTAGATAGCCAGCATGTTCTCAATTTTCAAAATATTGTCTCGCAACAAAATTTCAGTAATTTTGATTCCTCAGGCTGACTCGTATAACAAAATTATTTGACAGCATCAAACAAAACTGATCATATTCGCACTTTATTATGTAAATATATATAGCCGCTTTATAATACAGTTATATTTTGTATGTCAGGATGGCTTGTATAATACAATTGACAGTAATATTGGAACACAATCACCACAAAATTTTGTCCACATCAATTTAGATTGCCAGCATGTCCTCTTTTTATTGAAA